AGTCAATCAATCAATCACTCTATCAATCAATCTATCAATCAATCTATCAATCAATCTATCAATCAATCAATCAATGCCTCAATCAATCAATCAGTTAACCCTCTCAGATAAGACCTTTAGGATGTCTTATGAGGTACTTGGCCACATTCATATCACCCACTCTCCATATTGCACAGACGCTCTAACACACACACACACACACACACACACACACACACACATACACATACATACACGCACACGCGAACACACACACACACACACACACACACACACACACACACATACATGCACACGAGCACACAAACACACACACATACACAGAGTCACTGAAATATCAATCAATTAATGAACATCACGAAAACATTCCTCAATTGTTACTAGTGTGTAGTTTGTTGATTGATTGACTAATTGACTGACTGATATATGTATAGGTAGCCTGTGAAGCGTTGGCCTCAGAGGGATATCAGTGCAGCAGACGGAGAAGACAGGACAATAAATGAGGGGTTGTGACAAAGTGTTTCGTTGGAGTTTGACCGACTCATTAGGACGTTGAACCGTCAATAATCAATCAGACTATCAAGCAATCTACCAATGCCTTAATCAATCAATCAATCAATCAATCAATCAAACAAACAAACAAACAAACAAACAATCAATCGAATGAATGAATCAATGAATCAACCCATTAATCAACCCATCAGTTCACCAACCAACCAATCAATCAATCAATCAATCAATCAATCAACCAACCAATCAATCAATCGATCAATCATTCAATCAATCAACCAATCAAGCATTCAAACCACTGATCAATTCAGTCAATCAATCAATCAATCAATCGACCGATCAAGCAATCAAACAATCAATTAATGAATCAACTCGCTCACACAAGAACGACAGTATGTCTGAGGAGGTAGTCTGACACAGTCATAAAACCCACTCTGCAGACTGTGCACACACACATACACACACACACACAATCAGTTTTAGGTATGTTTGTTTTTACTCGTTCTCCTATTTTTTCTAAGTGTTTTTTGTGTCTCTAGCCGAGCACCCTCTAGCAGTGCCAAACAGTCGGTGGTTCCTCGTTTGGAGTGCCTACTGCACTCTTAGGGGGGGCGCTCGGTTCGGGATGTCTGTGTTGCGTGTCGGTGATGACGGATGGTCGTCGGAGTGTCTCCCTGGCTCAGCGGGTGGTGGGAGCCAACAGTCTGCAGGGTTCAATCGTGATGTGAGTAGACCATATGCTGCTTTGCTCCGTGTTGGATGTGTGGACGTCCTCGTCTGCGCTCCGTCGTTGCCCTGCTGCCTGTCCTGCTTGCCTCGCATGTGGTTCTTTGCAGGTTGATGTGTTCGCTGTGCGGTGTGGCCGTGTTGTTGGTGTTGCCTTGCGCTTCGCTGCTCCACTGCCGTGTTGCTCATCCGCTGGTCGTGCCTTCCATTTGCTGCTTGTGTACCTTGTAGGTTGGTTGCCTTGTTGTTGGTGCCTTGTGCTCCGCTGCACGATTGCCGAGATGCTGGTCCGCTCGCCCTGTCGTCCCCTGCAGTGTTGTTGCCTTGCTTGTGTTGTCTTGTGCTTCACTACACGGTTGCCGCGCTACATCATGCCCTGCGTACCATGTTGTTCCTTGCAGTTGTTTTTGGCGTTGTGTAGTCGTGTTGCCTCTACTGTGTTGCCTGGTGCACCACAGGGTTGCTGCCCGCTGCTATGTTCCTCTTGGAGACAGTCTGCCTTCAACAAGGGTCAAAGGGTGCATGACCCAAACCATTAAATACGGGGATTCCGCAGATTGTCGAGGGTTCAGCCTCCTGATGAGTCGGTGCAACTCCGACGAAACAGTTTGTCATCACTGATTTTTATTTTATTTTATTTTATTTTTTTCGCTCTCTGCCTTTTCAACTTGGCACTCTATGCCTCTTCCCTTGTTGCCTTGTGCTGCTTGTCTGCCCACCCACCTCCCCCATGCCATTCACCCTATGTGTTGTGCAACCGCGCGTTGTTTAATGCCTTATTGTCATTCGCCTCACCGTATGGCCTTCGCATGACATTCCATGGGTATCTGTGACGGACGTAGGAGAGCACCTCGTGCTGGTTACTATGCCAACAATGATGGCTATGCCATCAATGTTCTCCCTTCTCCCTCTCTCTTCCCTTCTTCGCTATCTATCTTGCATACACTCTTTCGAGGTGCCCGCTATATTCCTTTGGTCTTGTCTGCAGGGACTGTTGGTTTGTGGCGTTAGTCAATCCTATGGATAGGGAGTGCATTACAAACAGTATATGTGTGGATCTATGTGGAGGTTCTCGTGTTCTCGGGTTGCTATGGTTGCTTATGCATTCTTACACACACACACACACACACACACACACACACACACACACACACACACA